ATTAAAAGTTGCCAAAAAAAACAAAAAAACATTTAAATGGTTCTTGACAGGTTTGTTCTTTTCTATGTCCTTCACACTGGTAAAAAGAAAAATCAAATGAGCAAAGGTACATTTCAAAGGTCATTCCAGGAGTATTTTTTGACAGAATATAGTTCATTAACATGCAGCTGTGGGCAATATTTCTTCTGAAATTGTTTGCACACTCAATCAAACACATGCATTAACACAAAGCCTACAGGCATGTGCACTCACACACATACAATACATCTATTGCTCGGCTTTTTCGTGGCTTGCACGTCTCAGATCAAACTCATTTTAGCTTTATTGGTAAGAATAATGAACACTGTGACAAAGCTGTTGAACGTCAGCTTTCTTATTACTAGTGAAGAAACAAGAGAAAGCATAAATCTACAGAACATGCCAGTTCAAAAGTATGCACTTCTTCATTCGAAATACAATCTTTTTAATGACAACACTGACAGGACTAAATTAGGAAGACTAGATGCTGGTCTTAGACGGTTGTAACTCCATGAGATGTATCACAACTCCTAAACTATTCATCTATGTCTTGCATGCTATGTATATACATTGTAAATGCCATAGTACATTAATAATTTTAACCCTGAAAATATAAATCAGCTTCAGTGATATACTGACTTAGGCTAATTGTATATACACAACATGAATGTTGTACATTTCAGCCCATGCAGCAAAAAGGATCTCCAGGGGAAAAGTTTGTGCTCGGATGTATTCACTTGAGACTGCAAACAGAAATAGATATTAGTGGATGTTCTTACCTGTACCCCACATTAAACCCTCTTCCTCTGACTGTTTCCCGTCCTCTTGTTTCCTCTTTCTGCCTCCGAGGGTCTTTCCACTGGCACCCTGACACCACAAACTCCCCGTAGAATCCTTCGCTGGCATGAACAACAGAGCGTCCGGACCAGGTTTTTTGATGCTCCAGGGATATTTGGAGCCAAAATAGTCCTGATGAACTTACGGGAGTGTCTCCTGCACAAAGTATCACATAGTCATGCAGAGACAAGCATTTCCCTCTTTTAGCCCATCCCACTCTCAATCTCACCACACTGAGAATACAGGACAAGTGCAAGAGATTCCAGCAGATAATCACACCAGGACCTTAATAAGTAAGGACAACCGTGTGAGGAAGGGGAGAGGAGGAGAACGAAGAGGAGAAGGAGGGAGGGGGTGAGAGAGAGTGAGAGAGCGAAAAGTCCAGTGTCAATGAAGGATGGATTGGGATGGAGAGGGAGAGAGGTATAGGCTGGGCAATATGAGACACATACCTGATAGCTGGGAAAATGTAATCGGCTTTAATCTTTCCCAGGAGTGGAATGATCAATCCAATTGGTACATCCAGGTCTTATTTCATAATATGGGCAACTTTGTCATTGCATAACAAATAATTTTTACATTAGAGCTCCAAAAATGATAAATGGAACCACTATGTTTTGCTTACTATGTCAATGGTGCCAGTCAAGTTTGGGAATTTTGCAACTGGGAAAGGATATCAGGAAAATTCTGCAGTAAAAGAAAAAGCCAATGAATAATATGAACATTTAAGCCATGTAAAGTATATCCAATCAATTCCATCCATACGAGATTGTACATATGAACACTTAAATATGCATACATCTCAAGAGCTTCACAATAATTCAATTGTGACAAAATGTTGTCACATCCATCTCTTAAGAGAAGAATGTATAAAAGCATTTCATTCTGTCATGCCAATAATTGGGTTATAAAAATTTAAATAAGAATGAATAAATAATCATAATCATAATAACAATTATTATGATAATATATTTATTATTATTATAAATATTATTTAATATGTGATATGTATTTAATATTTGTTTATTTATCTTTCAAAACAACAACAATTATTATTTTTACTAATGATATCATGATAAATAAATATAATAATTATAATAATAATAATAATTATTATTATTCTTATCAAATATCATTTAATTAATATTTGTTTATTTATCTTCCAATAAATAAATTAAATGTAACCACAATCTTCTGCCTTTTACATCTGAAGCTCTTGCAACTGGAGAAGGATATCAGGAAAATTCCAGTCATGTTGGAGCTGTGGCACATGACAGATAGCATATACATATACAAATCCTTAAATAATGAACACACACACATTCATTGTTTAACAATTATTTTAATAATATCTGTATATGTGTGTGTGTGTCTGTGTGGTCCTGGTATTCCCTACGTTTTGGGGACCAAATGCCCCCACGAGGATTGTAATGTAATACCAGTACATTTTTACCTTGTGGGGACATTTTTTTGTCCCCATGAGGAAGCAAGCCTATAAATCATACTGAATGATCTTTCTTGAACATCTAAAACTTTTGTGTGAGGTGTAGGTGTTGGTGTACCCAACATGTGTGTGTGTGTGTGTGTGTGTGTGTGTGTGTGTGTGTGTGTGTGTAGGACAAGAAAATATAATCACTTGCAGAAAGAGCTGACAGTGGAAAACTGGTAGGCAGGAATTTGAGGTTTCAGCTGGGCTTGTGCACCTGCCTTTTGGTTGCTGTAGAGAGCGAGTGAGAAAAAGGGGGGTCATTTCCCTTTCTGGTGGAAGCCTGCTACTGTCGCTCTGAAAGGGGCTTTCTGAAAATATCAGGCTGAAATATATGCTATATATATATATATATATAGAAATGTGTTTGTGTGTTAGTATTGAATAGTGAGAGATTGAATCTCGGTTTATTGTGTCTCTAAATTACATTAGGGAGTGGAGGAGGTGAGCCACGCGGGTATTTGCAAATGTAATATTAATATGGTGATTATTGTGTTGGCGTAGAGGGAACAGAAGGTTATACATTGTCAAATGACTCTTCATAAGCTGCTATGCTGCACAAATGGTCTCCTACCAGGTGGTGAGCGTTCCCCTTGAAGTTTGTGACAACAGGAAAGTGCACAGGGATGCCATATTTAAGTAATTTCTTTGAAGAAATGTTCATTTTCCATTCAAGGCATTTGGCTGATCTCCTCTCAGGCCCCATCCGCATGGAGACGTGTTTAGCTGTATACGCATAAATTTTGTATCGTATAGGCGTTTCGTCCAGACGGATCCGGCGTTTAGGCAGAGTTAAACCTTATCTTCCAATAAATAAATAAAATGTAACCACAATCTTCTGCCTTTTACATCTGAAGCTCTTGCAACTGGAGAAGGATATCAGGAAAATTCCAGTCATGTTGGAGCTGTGGCACATGACAGATAGGGAGCTGATCAAGGTTCAGTTCTGCTCTGGGTCATGTCCCGATCCCTCTCCCTCCACTTTCCTTTCAGATCTTCAGTGTCCTGTGCAGTAAAGGAAAAAGCCAATGGATAAAATAAACATTTTATTTTATTTTATTTTATTTTATTTCAGCAATGCAAAGTAATTTCAGTCAGTTCCATCTAGAGTGTGGCTTGGAAGAAGTATTTACTTTGTGGCTTTGACCAAGCCACACAGATGGAGGCCGTGCAACAGCTGATGGTGATGTATTCCTGCTTAACGTCTAGGATGAGTCCTGAGAGGGCGACTGCAAACGAATGACAGCTCCGGTGTGGGGTCTTGCCTGAAATGAATATGGCAAATGTCATGTCTGGTGTGAAACTCTAGACTGAATATTAAGTGACAAACTATCACCACAAAAGAGAGAACAAGAAGCGGTTCTTCTCAAAATCTCAGAATCATACAAATCATTTCACGGAAAAACCTTTAGTATTATGACAATCCCAGTTGAGTGATCTCACATTCGCCTTTCAGACAGATTAACATATTAACAGCAGAATTTGTTTGTGACGCACAAACCAACAGTCACAGGGAAGTTCCTAACAGATGAAGGGCAGAGAGGGGTGGAGGGGCCGCTTTTTTAAAGCAGTAAGCACATTTCAGCAGCCAGGCGCAGTAAGATACAGTTACAGAGCATGGTGAAAGCAACAGGGCCTCTCCCAATACCCACCAGTCATAAACAGCTTCCAAACACTCACACCACAAACCATTAATGTTGTCTGCCACTCACTATGATCTCACTTTATGGTGTATGTATTGGCTTACGGTAATTCGTCGGGTCCAAGTAGGAAGGAACACAACTTACTGAGACCTCTAAAGTTTGTCTAGTAAATGGGTGATGATGTGCAGCTTGGGGGAATCTACTATTTATACCGCAGAACTATGTGTGCAGCCTGTAGCGGTTAACCACATTACACAGGAGTCTTTATAGGGCTTGTTAAGGATAATGCTTGACATGAGGTCTCCATTCCGAAGCATTAACTGTGTGGTTTTATAGCATATTCTAACATAAAATTTTGTAATTGAGTTGGATGCAATGACACAGCACTCACAACTTAACCAAAAAGATTTAAAAACTATATATAATTTCATGATTTTTGCTCCTAGGAAATAGCATCATATAAAAAAATAAAAAAAAATATATATGATCTAAATTAAATAATAATAATAATAAAATAAAATAAAATAATAAAATAAAATAAAAAATTGATTTAATTAAATCACAAGCGAATATAATATGAATAAACTTCCATGATGAACATATTTTTAGTTTCTGGTCCTATGAAAAACGGCATGATATAATATTACTATATATTATACATTTTATACACTTTTTTTAACACTCACTTTCTTGATATTCACATTGATTTACTTTTTTGAGTCAATTAATCAAAACTTGTATCAAATATTTTGTTAGCAGTTTTTCAAATAGCTCTAAAGATTTATTTTCTCTTGCGTCATATTAGACTTTTTTTTTTTTTAAAGACGAAACCTTATCAGTGAATCGTGTTTATGTTCGTCCAGCAGAGGGAGACATCACACTACTTATTCTTTTAAGGTTTTAATATGTCGTTTTACATCGATGTTTTTCTTTCTCGTTTTTCCTCTGACAGCTGTCAGCGATTCATCAATCAACAATCAAAAGCACCCAACCAATTAAACACTCAACCAGGTTTATGGTATGGAGTGGAGATGCAGTTAGTGTGATCTGTTTGTGCCTCAGAAATGTCTAACGCAGAAGTCGGTGCTTCCCGGCTTTTGTCGTTTAATCAGATGTATAGTTATGAAAAGCGACTACAGACGTTTTCTGAGTGGCCTTTTCGAGAAGATTGCCAGTGCACACCAGAGTTGGTGAGTGTGTACGTGGAAAAAAAAGAGAGAAATAGGCTAATAATAAACAACACTGTTTTGAGTACAGGCACTGTTACAAATCCACTGCTGCTTTAATTAAAAGGAGTAATGAAGATCCACTGAATCCTCTCTATTCTCTTCAGATGGCCAAGGCAGGTTTTGTGCACTGTCCTAGTGAGAATGAGCCAGACGTAGCTTGCTGTTTCTACTGTCTCAGAGAGCTGGAGGGCTGGGAGCCAGAAGACAACCCTTGGTGAGCTCCCGAAGCACACCTTTATAATCTATGGCCATTGTTTTTCTGAGCACACCTCTTATGGTCTATTTCTCTATGTTGCTAAACCTGAGATTGTAACAGCTGACTTTGGGTGGAAAAGGGGAAAAGTTTTCACCACTTTTATTGACTGTCCTTTCATTAAGGTCCGAACATGCCAAGCGTTCCCCCAATTGTGCCTTTCTTCATATGAAAAAGACATTTGACGAACTCACAGCCATTGAGTATTTTCAGCTGGAACAGGAGCGGCTTCGCATCTACATTGTGTGAATGCGTTCGTGGTGTACTTTTGAATATTGTTTTACACGCATGTCTGTGTACACACACACACACACACACACACATATAGTAGTCTACCAGCATATTGCATGTTCATTACTTATGGTTATGTTTTTTTGGTACTAATAATAAAATGTATATGTATTAATTTAACTGATTTCCCCCTCAGAGGAAGATGGGTCACAGGAAGATAGCCTTCTTTCGTGATGAGGTGGAGGCCACTAGCAAAAATCGGAGAGCTCTAATCTGATATTTAGTGATGTTAAATAATTTAATGGTACACTGTTTTTGAACTTAACACCAATAAATTAAATGTTTTTTATGTTCCATCCACATAATTGAATTTATTTATTTTTTTGCCACTGATGCCTACAGCTTTGGACTCTTTTGAAGCTGTTTGTTTGGACCACGTGTTGGCAATGTGTGAATTGGGAAGCATTCCTGTACCACCTTTGACTCCACCTACAGTATCTGTAAATGATGACCACAGGTTTTAGTGGTTTAATAAAACATAAGTATTCAACACTATTCTAGCTATGTAGCTCAACTTGCCACTTTTTCTCTTTTGTGAGACCTTCTTCCATCCAAACTTGACCCTGGGCAGATGGCCCTAAGACCCTCCCTCTAAATACCAACTGTTGCCCCATAACATCTGTTACTGTAGAGGGTAGTGGAGTTGGGGAGAACTGTGGGTTAAAACCAGGTCTACCACTGAAGGGCTCAGTGGGCTCTGGTACTGAGGATTGCCAGTGTTTTGAGGTGCATACAGGAAAGAAACAAGGTCCATTAGGAAATTTTGTCTTTGTGTTGTTCTTCTAAGATGAATCATGTGCCATACATTGAAATAAAATGTGAGGCATTCTTTAGTGATAACTGTATAAACAGCTTTAGTTTGTGTGCATGTGTGTTTGGGATGGGGTTGGCGAGGGATTAGAAATGCTATCCCATCTCCCCCTTCCTATGCCCTGGATTACTGTCTAATGCAACACTCTGGACACTGAGCCCCGATCAACTGCTTAATTCTCCTTTATCCACTCGCAACAGAGCAAATAGAAAAATAAGACATTTAAAAAAAAAAAGATGTAACACTCATGTAGAGGAGAAGCTCAGAAGAGACCCCTTAAATTCTCAGAATAACGATGGTCTGGAATCACGGTTTTGATTTCGTGTAGTTGCATCATTTTGTGGAAGTTTCTTTTTCACAACTTATAAATGATTTGTCCAGCAGCTCCCTGCTCCTGGCTATATGCATGCAGTCACAGGTGCTATAGGCATTTTGGATGTGTTAAGTCTTACAGTAACTAACAATTAGTTTTCTGCTTTTCAGCTGTAGTAATTGTCTTGCCTACATCACATGAGCAGCATAAAAATATATAATATTGGTGCACAGTCCATCACTTCCTGTCTGATCACAGGGAATGACAGGTGTCCACACTCCACACTGACTGGGGCTTCTCCTCTCAAAATGTGGCATATGGACAAACTGACAGATGTTCCCAACAGAAAGTTTACAACCTGAGAGCACCATTGGGGCCCATCTGTTGCTGTGCGCGGGTCCTCCCCCTCGGCTCTCCTCATCTTACACCAGAAGAGGCTCCACCACACACCCCTACCTCACCTCCGCTCAGCATCCCCTCCTTTCATAATTCAACTCCCACACCATTCAGCCTTTATGACACACTGAGCCAAATTAATGCCGAGGGACTCACCTGGAAGAGCGTAGATTAGCTCATGCAGGGGCCAAACAGACCAAACAAAGACCTATTCTACCAATGTTTGGAACAGACAGACTGTTTAACATTTTTTTTATTCAAATAATTTAAATAATTATCAAGCAGGCAAATGTATGTGACAGACAGTAATTAACAAACCATATATTTATGCATAGTAAAGTTTATCTACTTTTAAAAGAGAATAGAAAATTATTCCTGTCTTGTTATTGAGTTCACGTGTGTCCTAACTCTCTTATTGTATTTTTATTAATGTGATAGTAATAATTCAGTTTTAGAATTATTCATTAAATTTAATAATGAAATTATATTAAATATAAAATATAGAAACTAATTATATTGCATATAAAATTAATATAATATTAACTCATAGTCAATATAATTTTGTACTGGGATAGTTCACCCTAAAATGAAAATTCTGTCATCATTTACTCACCCTCAAGTTGTTCCAAAATGTTCTTTCTTCTGCTGAACACAAAAGAAGATATTTTAAAGAATGTGGGTAACCAAACAGTTTGTGGTCCCCATTGACTTCCACAGTATGGAGAAAAATAAAAAATACTATGTCAAGTAAGTCAATGGGGACCACAAACTGTTTGGTTACCCACATTCTTACACACATTAATAATAATATAATGCATATCACAAAAGTAAACAACTGTGTGTGTGTGTGTGTGTGTGTGTGTGCGTGTGTGTGTGTATATGGACACTGTACTTATCATATAAAATATTTTCTAATTTGGCCAAATTCATCAGTAAACATTTTATGTATGCCAACAAGTTTATGTTGAACAGTTACTCAACATAAAACAATATTGTTTTTGATGGTCAGAATAATATTTGTTGACTTATTTTGTGAAATGTCAACTGAATAGTGCAGTTATGAAGTGAACATATAGCTCTTCAAGACTTTTCCATACAGTGATCCAGTCTGAAACCTCCATCATGCTCTGTTGAGTTTCCCCCCACTTTAGACTTATGAAGGGCACCAGTACATTCAGGCTTATACTGTATAGCTTATATAGATGATTACACATCTCTCAAATCTCTTTGTGACCTTTCCCCTCCCCTTTTCCATTTCTTTCTTACTTTTCCCATCCATTTCTCTTTTACTCTCCATTACTTTGCACGGCAATCAGTGTGAGCTAACTGCAGGCTCTATCTCACACAGTCGGGCCCTCCTACCTTGCTTTCTTTTTGTGCCTTCTTCCATAGGGACCCCCATCTGTCCCTCCTCTCCAGCCATTGTGGGGGCTCAAAGCCGGGCCACCTCCACAATACAGTGGGCGTGTAGAGGGGGGAGGCAGGGTAAACATGACAGCAACCCTATCCTATTAGAAGCTCTTTAACTTTGACAACCCAGCACTCTCACAAAGCTCTGAGGAGACGAGTCTTGCCTCACAATGTCACTTTAATGGCTTGTTCCACCCTTCTGTGAACTCTAACCTCCCTTTACCTTTCCTCTGCTCTGGATCGTCATTGAATTTGGCTGTCGCTGTCACTCTTTAGTCTGATCTGAGCTCACAGGGCAGGTGCACCACCGTTTGCTTTGCTGGAAACCTTCTATATCTATCTATCTATCTATCTATCTATCTATCTATCGTCTGTCCGTCCGTCCGTCTATCCAGCAATCAATCTATCTGTCTGTCCATCAGTCTATCTGTATGTATCTGTATCTATCTATCTATCTATCTATCTATATGTCTGTCTGTCTGTCCATCTGTCTATCCATCTGTTTATCTATCTATCTATCTATCTATCTATCTTGCCGATTCAGCATTTTTTTTCTCGTCTTTCTCCAAACCTCCTCCTCCCAGTTTCCTCGTCCAGTTGCCTTCTAGCATACACCACCTATCAGTTTCATTGTACTACAGCTCTGTACCTTGACCTCCCTGTTCTCCGGCCTATCCTGTGTGTTTGTGTGAGTGAGTGTGTGATGTGACTCATGAGGAGGAGGATCACAGTGTTAGCTGAAGCTTAAAGGCAGCACAGACACTGATTAAAGCCTTCCAGCCTCCTATGGCCCCATTAATACAATCTTAATCACAATGCTTTATCCCCATCTCCCCCCTATGGATCAGAACCTTTCATTTAGTGGGAGACTGCGTTGTTTGGCCAATGGATTAGTGCCAGAGAGACAAAAAAACTGGAGAGGAGTGAAAGAGGTTTCAGACTGCACTTTAATGTCCCATCATCCACTCCTCCTCTCTAACTTGCATTGTAAATTCATAACTACACGCAACATATATAATTGCCTTGTGCAGAAAAGGAAGATTTGCTATTGCCCCAAAAAGTATTTGAACACTGTATAGCCACACTTTAAGGAATATCGGATTAAATGACTTGCAGAAAATGTCTTCAAGTCTGAAATGATGTTTAACAATCTGGAGTCAAGGTGATTTTTAGTGGATGTATGAAGTCAGTTCCACTCAAGTTCGCACAGGTTTTCTAGCAGAATTACCACAACTGTAGTTCATTAACTATGTTCAAATAAGACTAACAATCATAGTTCTCATATTTCTGTTGAATTTTACATACAATTATGTATTTTGAAGTATACTGTTTTATAAATGTAACATTTGGTGAATTGATTTAGTTGAAAGTTGTTTTATTTATTTATATAAATGCTACTTGTTTTGAAATTTTATTCGTTAATGCAATGAAATTCATACATTTCTTTTAGTTTAAAATGGCTAAAATGTCTTTGGGCCACTGCATCCAACAATCATCTGCTTTATTCACCTGACGTGGTCACAGGCAGAATAAATCCTTTGAGCTATGGCTGTATTAGAATACAATTGTAAAATTCATTTAGGGTCTTAAAAACATCACACTAAGATTGTAGTATTCTTATTTTTTTCTAAATTTTGTATGGGTATTTGCTGTGGCACAGAGGTCACAACGATGACCATCTGCTCTATGGGAAAATGCAACAATTTTCACATGCCTTTTTCATTTTTGCTAGCACATTTCTCCTCTGTGGTTTCTCATCTATTTTCAAAAGATATGTCGACAGCAGCTGACAACTCTGAAATCGTTCCCTTATTTCAGCCCTGCTGATTTCTGCACAGACGGCTGACGTATTGGCAATGAACAATGCCAAAGACTGTTAAAACATTTTGTATAGTTTGTATAACTTCTGTGGGCAGTAAATTGCACAGTTTTATGAGTAACTTGCCACAGCCACAGTTAAAGGGACAATTCACCCATAAATGAAAATTGTGTCATCATTTAGCATTTATATACAGTATATGTATATATATATATATATACTATAATAGATATATATAATAGATCAAAAACTTTTTAAAGCAAAGGTTTTCACAAAACAAAGTCTGATAGGTTTAAAATATATGTCTGAATAAGTTGTTGAATACGTTGAAAACGTGGTTGTCAAAATTTAAAACTTGCATTTAATCTAATCTAAATCAAGGTGAATTCAGTACTACAATAAGCTACAGGTTAAGAGTCATATTTAGATTTCATTTCTCATAATTTGATCTCACTTTTCCTTTTTTCCCCCCCAAATGCTCTTGACAGCACAGCTTGAAAGCCTTCACTTGACTCCATCTATACTGTCTTTTCCTCATCTTCGGCCACTCCCACAGTCTCAATGTGTGGAACTATGTGTCATTCCAATGCCCAGCAGACCCACAAGAGGACAGGGAAAGGGGTCACTCAAGAATAAGGCCTTGTTCACCTCCTTTGTTTTGGTTTACTCCCGCTCCCTCTTTCTCTTTTCCCCCTCACTCTCTCTCTCACTAGTTTGGCCCCAGCTGTCCATCAGCCCCCCCGCAGTTCTCCCAGCTGTCTCGGCTCTCTGAACGAACAGCCTCACAACAATGCAGGTCAGAGGTCGAGAGAAAGAACACACTGCACTTACAATAGACCAGTGGCGCCCGCTAAAACAATCGCTCCC